GGGTTGTTGGATAGTCCTGGGAGTGTGGCAGAGAGGAGCCCAGATGATGTGGTTCTAATGGCTTCATCGGTCTGCGACCTTCAGCACTCACTGGATCGGTTCGCAACCGAGTGTGAAGCGGCTGGGATGAGGATCAGCACCTCCAAATCTGAGGCCATGGTTCTCAGCAGGAAACCGATGGACTGTCCACTCCAAGTAGGGAATGAGTCCTTACCCCAAGTGAAGGAGTTCAAGTATCTCGGGGTCTTGTTCTCGAGTGAGGGAACAATGGAGCGTGAGATGGGCCGGAGAATCGGAGCGGTACCGCAGTCGCTTTACCACAGTCGCTTTACCGCACCGTTGTGACGAAAAGGGAGCTGAGCCAGAAGGCAAAGCTCTCTGTCTACCGGGCCATTTTCGTTCCTACCCTCACCTATGGTCATGAAGGATGGGTCATGACCGAAAGAACGAGATCGCGGATACAAGCGGCCGAGATGGGTTTTCTCCGCAGGGTGGCTGGTGTCTCCCTTAGGGATAAGGTGAGAAGTTCGGTCATCAGGGAGGGACTCGGTGTTGAGCCGCTCCTCCTTCGCGTCGAAAGGAGCCAGTTGAGGTGGTTCGGGCACCTAGTTAGGATGCCACCTGGGCGCCTCCCTAGGGAGGTGTTTCAGGCACGTCCAGCTGGGAAGAGACCAAGGGGTAGACCTAGGACCAGGTGGAGGGCCTTGGGATCCCCCAGTCAGAGCTGGTTGATGTCGCCAGGGAAAAGAAAGTTTGGGGCTCTCTGCTGGAACTGCTACCCCCGCGACCCGACCACGGATAAGTGGGAGAAGATTGATGGATGGATGGATGGATGGTGCTTTCGTGTTATCGGCTGAATCTTTATGTATTGATTAGATCACGTTACTCTGATGATAGTGTTCAAGACAGCCTATATGTCTGAACTCGATCCTTAGAGTAATGTGTTACGGAGCCTTCTCTTCAATATTGTTTCCACATAACGAGCATTTTGTGCTGCTCTTTTCCAATGTGGAAGCAGAATGTGTGAAAGCATACAGCACGATGCAGGGTGTGTCTCTAGACATCTTTAGACTGGAATAGTATGAGGTGTGACTTGTGCCAAAGAACAGATAACTAAGCTAACTGAGCGGAGCACTGACGTGTCAACGTACGCCAGCTCTCCATTCATTTTGAATGGGTTGACGTAGAATACAGGCGACGTCACTACGATGTCAGGTTGTAGCATGTTTCGATTGCCAGTTTGTGGCTTGTATGTCTTGTGAATGCAGCGCTGGCATAATATGATGTGGCCTGCTGACATGGCCTCTAATAAACACACAGGACTAAAATAATACGTGTTTAATTCAGCCCAGATGCGGTGACTGCAGGCCAAATCCATTAATGCGGCATATATTTGTGAAGTTGTTCAAAGTTGCACCGGTATGAGGCGCAGTGAGAACCTAACACCTGTCCGACTAGCGAATGGGCACATTTCAATTTCAGGAGAATAATGAAGATGTGATTGGTTGTTCCACTCTCCGCGCGCTGCTGTTTACATTAGTATGGACTGGACCGACTGAAACTGACGGTCAGGTTAATTATTGTGGAAGGATGGACCCCCATCCTGCAACAAAAAGGCAGCGAAATGTGCTAAAATCACTGATTTATTCAGAACCCCCGTATGGTATATAGCAGGGGTGGGGAACCTCCGGCCCCCGGGCCGTATACGGCCCGCGAGACAATTTGATAAGGCCCTCGAGGTAACTCGCGCAAAAAAAAAAAGAAGAAATCTAGACCGCAAAATAATTAAACAAGCGAGTGCCTGTTTTTCCTGGCCAAGGTCAGGGTCCTTGAACACAACACGAGCCTAACGTGTCATCACGTGGTATATCTCTCGTCCGACAGGGGTTTAGAGCTGCCGGAGAGCACCAGGACGTCGCTCCGGGCCGGGACATCACAAATGTCAGTACCCATAAGGAGCCGTACACATGCCGCAGTTTTTTGCGTGGCTGTGTCTTTAGTTGAAAGCCCAGTGGCGATCTATTCATCTGTCATACTGATCATACAGTCAATAACATAATAAGGCAAAGTTCACGGCATGGTAGAGGACGATCGACACGATTGTCTGCTCAGTGAGTTCGTTCTTTGGCACAAATCACACCTCATAAGTGAGTTCGTTCTTTGGCACAAATCACACCTCATAGGTTAGCGGGGCCCAGTACGTGAACTCGCCTCGCAGGTGCACACGCCAGGATAGAGGACATCAGACTCCAGAGAAAATTTGCTCGAGTCCAAGTCGGAGCGTCAATGTACAAGTCGAATCCGAGTCATCATGGGGGGGAACAATTCACGAGTCCGAGTCCAAGTCTGCATACGCGATAATTCACGAGTCCGAGTCCAAGTCATCGTGCGCGAGAATTCACGAGTCCAAGTCCGAGTCGAGTCACGAGTCCTGAAAATCGGCACTCAAGTCCTATTCGAGTCCGAGTCCAGGACTCGAGTACTCCATCTCTGGAATGCGTACATTAACAGGTTTATGATATCACTGCCCCGTCTAAGACACAATCTGACTTTAACTACATTTGACTCGAGTGTTTCCTCAACTTAATGTGTTGCTTAAAGATCAAATGCAAAGTTTTTTTTATAATTGCCAGTAAAATCGAAATCATATAGCTACAACACTATCTAAGATATTGCAGTATTAAAATCGGAGATAATATGCGTCTGGCAATGCGCAATATTTATTTTGTTCAACCCCCAACACCAAGTCCAACGATTTATTTTCTCAGCCGCTCCTCCGCAAGATGGCGTCGCGTGACGTCACAGTGGCCAAACAAACAAACCTTGGCTTATCGCTCACAGCTGCTTCCGCCGATAGTACAACTTAGTTTCGTTATCATGTCTGATTCTGAGTAGACTATAGACTAAAAGCTTTAGGAATCCAAACTATAACATATAATAAGTACCCTGTATCAAGATTGATGCAAAACAAGTGAAATTTGACCTTTTTAGAGAGGTTTAGAAAAATAAAGTCCAGGCGGACTCACCACTGGGTAATTTGGGAACCATCACAACCAAACACAATGCTAACAGTGAGACACTGAATTAGCCCCGAGCGAATGCTAACCTATTACTGCACCGAAATCACTCCTAGCTCCCTTATTACTTATCCTAGCTCCACATCCAACACATTGTTTATGATCGTAAAGACACAGAATCTAACGGTGCCCACCTCTATAAGCACCCACTCGGCTGAAAGAAATGAAAGCATGGCGGAGGGCTTTTTTGATGCATAGGCCTAATGAAGTGGTTAGAAGAATGTTGGGTTTTCTAAGTGCTCACAGTCACTTTTAATTGCGCGGGGGGCATTTTAATTGGGCCAGGAGGAATAATAGTGGATTTAATCCCTATCATAATGCATATTGTTCACACTTTTCCGTTATGAGTGGAGGAGCGATGAATGAGCTGCAGATAAACTACAATGCTAACAGTGAATTAGCCCCGAGCGAAAAATGCTAACCTATTACTGCACCAAAATCACTCCTAGCGCCCTTATTACTTATCCGAGCTCCACATCCAACACATTGTTTATGATCGTAAAGACACAGAATCTAACGGTGCCCACCTCTATAAGCAATAAAACTGCAATTCCGTTATCTGCGTTATCTGCTGTGCTCCGTGCGCTTTGAAATCTAATCAAAAGTTGTGGTAACACTTTATATTAAGGTACACAAATTAACCATCAACTAGTTGCTAATTAACATGCATATTAGCAGTATATTGGCTCTTTATTAGTCATTATAAAACACTTATTAATGCCTTATTCTACATGACCATATTCTACAAGTAATAAGCTATTAGTTGAGAGTTTTTCCTCAATAACCCTCCAATTAGTGCTTATTCATTGCAAGTAAGGAAGTTGTTGTACATGAGTTTGGGTCTTAATATGCTCTGCTCAATATGGGCCTAATAAGGCAGTAGTAGCACAAGAATAGTAATTCTCCCTTAATAACACTTAACAAATATGATCTGCTCTCATGTAAGAAGACATGAAACTACAAGTGTTAATTGTGTCTAAATAACTCAAAATTAGCTATTTATATCTAAGAACATGTTCCCTATTCTAAAGTGAAGTCTTGTTCATAACCAATAAGCTATTAGTTTGACTTTAATTGACCTGAACAGGTTCCCTATTCTAAAGTTGCCTCCTCTTCACACTTTGTAAATACATTATAGCACACAACTACTGAAATTAACCTCAACAGCACATGAACAAAGTAGGCTCACGTTGAAATATCTGTTTTATTCAAATGTGACCACTTAAGAGAGGTTCAGACACATCACAAACATTTAATTAAAGTGTCTCCAAGGCTCACAACACACCTGTACTTTTTAATACAAATAGATAGGTAAATATAAAAGCTGAACTTGCTCTTGAGGGTACTACTAAACTCACATTTAAATATACAACTCTTCCAGTACACCTTATCTAAACCGATAAAACCAGCCCTTTAATACTTCATCAGCAAGGGAAGAAGCTTGCCTTTGGCTTTCATGTCCTCTATTTTGGCCTTTTTATCGACTGTAACATTTGTTGCACACTTCTTGGCAAATGAAAGCAGGGTGTCTATTGCAGGATCAAACTTGAGGGTCTCGAATGTGTCTGGGTCCACAATCTTGAGGTCTGCAATTGGAGCAGTCATCTTTATGGTTCCCCGATCCACATTATTTCTCCTGAAGGCTTCAGACATTGTGCGAACATGTCCGAAGGTTTTCAGGACCTTTTATACCTATGGACAACCTCCGCTGGCCCTTTGACTGGAAAAAAACAAACAAACAAATACACAAGGGATGAGTACACAGACTAATAATTCTGTCCAACAGATGGCGGCTAATATGGCCGAAACAACTGACATTTCTCTTTAAAAAATAACTATAAAGCATACTCTAGGGATGGCAACATCTGCTTATCTGATCTTTATCATTATTACTTTTCATGATATTTAGTTGTTCACCTCTCATATGAGCTCGCCCAGGCACAGCCACATCTGGAGATGCAGGATTCCGTGTGTTACGTTGCTTCTTTTTTGGGATGACAACATCACTGTCTGAGGAATCACTGAGGTCTGCAGGACTTTGGGAAGTGTCATCTTCGGACATGCTGACATCCTCTTCCAAAGTAGGGACTTTTGATTGAGCTTAAATTCAACGGATGACAGATGACACACTGATCAGCTTGTTATGAGGAGATACATAACATCACACCTTCTATAACAATTGAATACAAATGTGCAGTTTCTTCTCGAATCACTCACTTGATTTCTTCTTCAACCCCAAGACTTGCTCACGTAAGAAATTGCGCTCTCCTTCAAGATCTTTTATCTTGCCATTCGATCTTGGCCTCTAGGAATTCCAATCTTGAGATTGATCCTTAAAAAACAAAAGGACAGTTTGAGAGAAGATTACAATAAAGATTATGATACAGTATTGAGTAACAGGAAACGTATTGGAGAGACAGAGAGAGGGATGGCGAGCAACAAAGGTCATGGGCCAGATCGAACACAGATGATTGCGATTATGGTTTGTGCCTTAACTTGATGAACCTCAAGGATTTTAAAACCATAAAGTAGCAGCCGATAAAGTAAAAAATGTATACAATTATCCACTTCCCGTCTCCCACAAGAGACAACAGATAATATGTGGTTTCCCTAGTCAACATCGGCCATGTCAGTTACAGTGTACTGCTTATCATCACCACTGTGCGTCATATTAATGATCAGATATTAATTAAATTACAAGTATTTATTTGCAGCTCCAAATCGCAACTTTTCCTATAGAGCAGGTCAAGACTGTACTCTTACAGTTTACAGAGACCCAACTTTTACCCACATGAGCATGCACAGTGGTAAGGAAAAACTACACTTTTTATGTATTAGTGATCACTATGTTGTGAATATGTAAATGTATCATTGAGTGGCCAAACATGAACATGGAGGCGATGTGTGCTTTTATTCTATAAAGCACAATATAACAGCAACATTTATTTTCATGTTGGGTTCTCTTTTAAGCTTACATTTGTCCTTGGAAGGCTACTGAAGTAAATTGTCTCTAACCTATACAGTCTCAGAATTTTGATGAGCTGTTTATTTTTTACCATAACTTAAGGAGGTGCATGTTCTAAATCTGGCAACAATTTCCATCTCAGGATGAACGAGCCATATAGTTTAATGTTTATAAACTACCAACACAAAGAATCAATGCAAGAAAAAAAAAATCACCTGATCCAAGGCTGGTACTGCAACTTGGGGCCAAGCTTTCTGTATCTTCAGGACCTATAGCATAAGAACAATAAACTCACAAAATTAATAGGGGACATGAATGTTAAAATCAAGTTTGACAAGGAAATCATTTAAGTTGTACTTCTTAGTTAAGGGATATACAATTTACCATCTAGATCCTCTTTGATCAACTCCATCCTTGACTCCTCTTTTGGGACCTGATTCTTCTTCTTTGCCTTAGGCTAGGGCTGTGCAATTAATCGTATTTTAATCGCGATTACGATTATGGCTTGCGACGATTATGAAAACGGCATAATTGACAAAATACGATTATTTTGCTGGGTGCACTTTCGCCCCTCCCTAAAAGCCCACTCGGCCACGTGGGAGTGACATGTGTTGTGAGTGTTCAGCGCGAGCGAAGGTGTCAGAACAAGAGCAACTCGTTAAAAAGAAGGGTAAAACTATTTCCACTATTTGCAAGTACTTTGGCTTTCAGGAGTCCGACGTGGAGCAAAAGAAAGTCCAGTGCAGGATTTGTTACCAGGTTGTGTTGGCACCACACGCTAACACAACCAATCTCTTTATTCATCTGAAATACAACCACAAAGTGCAATACGACCAGGCAATAATACAACAAAAAGCAGATGCCCGCTCGACTTCATCCACCACATCATCACAGTCATCGATTCAGGACGCATTGTACAGAGCAACGGCCTACGCGACGAGCTCGCAGAGACACAGAGATATTACAGGTGCCATTACATTTCACATCGCTAAAGATATGTGCCCAGTTAGCACTGTTAGCAACCAGGGCTTTAAGCAACTTGTCAACACGTTGGACAAGCGTTACGCGATGCCGTCTCGGTATTATTTCAGCAGGTCTGCGCTGCCTGCACTATACTGTATGACAAATGCAGTGGGGAAGTTGAGAGAGATGTGGCTTCAGCTGACTACTTTGCTACCACAACATACCTATGGTCTAGCCCAGGGGTGCCCAACCAGTCGATCGCGAGATGTGTCTAAAAATAGAACAACAATATTCTGTTTTATCGTTAATGTCCTGTAACATAATCTTCCTGTGCCAGAATAATGCACTTGAACGCATCACGTCACCCCTGTGTCGGGGCGTGGCTGAGGGTCTTCAGTACAGGTGGCAATATTGTCACCTGCCTGCGCTCATCTCTGAAACCAGACCATGTAAACAGGCTGTTGTTTCTTGCAAAAAATCTTTAAGAGATGACACGAGCAGCCCTACCAGCATTTGCCATGGTGGCCTAAACATTTTTATTTGGTCTTAAATTGTAGTTCAACATTTATTTCCTGTTACTTCTGGACCATGACGGTGGGCCAGCCTTCAACGTTTAACTGAGTGGAATAATGAATATGTTTTACCAAAATGTTGGCTATATGTTAAGGAGTTTTCAGTAGGTTGTGACAGTGCACTGCATCATATTTGATTTAATTTATTTTTGGTCTAATTTATTTTTATTTATCATATTAATAATATATGTTTAGTATGGTTTTGGAAGTGCGCTCCAACATATTTGTTGATCTTGTTTATTGGTAAAATATTATTTGTTTTAAAGTTCAATGAATAATCGTCAAAATAATCGTGATATCAATTATTCACCCAAATAATCGTGATTATGATTTTTGCCATAATCACACAGCCCTACCTTAGGCTGTAAAAACAATAAGAATAAAGCTATTAAATATTGTGTAAAAGGCTGAATATGTACATTGGATAACAGTTACAGTGCACAAACATGAGTCTAAAAGGCAGCGAGCTGGCCAAATGAAAGCGACTGACCCGGGGGTTAAACCAAGTAAAGATAACCACGAGCCTTCGCGCCAGTTGTTGGCTAGCTAGCAAGCGGGGCTAATGTTGGCTGTGGTGATTAACTACAATGTTTAATCGGCTTGCAAGATAGCTATAATTTACTTTTGAAAAGCAATGGGTCCCTATTAATTTATGGACTAACAATAATGAACATTTGTGGTGACCACCTATTAATACACTGGGACATAATTCATACATGGAACTACAGTTGGGGCTATTGTTTCCACACGGACATATATGTGTTGTTATCTATATATGTTGTGTGCCCTCCTGGCTCTTTCTCTTGTCGTCCCGGGCTGCGACCCAACAACATCTACATTTCTGCTGCTCATTAAAGCCAGCTTTGTACCTCCATTGCACCGCCTCCGACTCCCTATCTCTCGGCACTACATTGGTGATCCCGACAGCGTCTTGGGAAGTTTCCGAGACGGACCCGAACACGGCAAAGGAAACCCAGGTTTCTTTCTCGAAATGCCGGGGATTTTTTGGAGTCGACCGTGGCTGCTACAGGCACGCGGACTGAGGCTCGGTGCGCGCCTCGCCGAATGGCTGGGGATGTTGCTCGTCATTCCCGCATCTGCCTTCCGACTACAGGGGGGACGATGCACGACCTGCTGGGTAGGGATGAACCCGATTGCTACCTCGTGGGGTTGTTTCTTCGGGGCGTGCGGCTGCACGTCCCAGCTGCGCTAGCTAACGACAACTAGCAGCTAACCACGTTGGCTAACTACGGCTAGCAGCTACCGGTGGCTGCCAGCTAACGGCAACAGCTAACGGCTATCGACCCTTTTGAGTTTTTGCTTTTTTTCTGGTGCCGGAGAGGAGGTTCGACCAGCCGGTTGACCTCAGGTGGACACTCTCACATTTTTCACCACCTCCACGGCGGTTCCAGACGCCACTCACGTTTTCATCGACGCCTGGGTGGTGCACTCCTGGACCCCGTCTCGCCTCGACGGTTTTGGACGTCGCCCATGCTGCCATCGGCCCGTGGGTGGCGCGCTCCGGAGCCTGTCTGGCCTCTCCTGCCTTCCGGGGATATCCAGACGCCACTCACGTTCATCGGCGCCTGGGTGGCGCACTCCTGGACCCCCTCTCGCCTCGACAGTTCCGGACGTCGCCCATGCTCCATCGGCCCATGGGTGGCGCGCTCCGGGACCCTGTCTGGCCTCTCCTGCTTCCCGGGGATGCCTCGACGCCTGCCGAGGACTTCGTGCCCGCCGCCGTTGCACGTCTGCCTGCGGCCGGGCAGCGCTCCTTCCTGCTGGGGACCACCGGGTTGTTGACGCCCGTCGCGACTCAGCGACCCGGCTTTCACCGACTGGCGGGTGATGACTTCATTCGCCACGACGCCTACTGCGGCCCCCTTCCGACGGCCCGTTCCATGGCCCGGTCCTCACCTGCGGCCCCACCCTCCTCGGCCCCTGTGGTGCTTCCTCCACGGACGCGAGGATTTTTTTGCCATGTTTGAATTATGGGGGGGCTTGTGTGGTGACCACCTATTAATACACTGGGACATAATTCATACATGGAACTACAGTTGGGGCTATTGTTTCCACACGGACATATATGTGTTGTTATCTATATATGTTGTGTGCCCTCCTGGCTCTTTCTCTTGTCGTCCCGGGCTGCGACCCAACAACATCTACATTTCTGCTGCTCATTAAAGCAAGCTTTGTACCTCCATTGCACCGCCTCCGACTCCCTATCTCTCGGCACTACACATTATACGAATTATACAGCCAAGTAGTGGGTAGGTTACATGACGATATTGAGCTAACGCGGCCAACAACGTGAGTTGGTAATAATGACTTTATTAAGCACACAATTCAAAGAGGTCCAGAGTGCACATGAAAGAGAGCATTTTCAACAAATACAATACAATGAATACAAAAATAAGAAAGCAAGCACGTAACTTACCATTGTCGATGCACAACATTTCCAATGTCCCTCTTCAAGCTCCAAGGCAAGTGGAAAAGGCCAAAAGCTAGCAGGCAGTTTATTTTTGCTGATTGGACGGGGATTTAATATGATAGTGAATGATTGGATGAATTTGCCGTTTGCAACCTGTCAGGTGACTCCCGTTCCCCTCTACGTTACTGCACTGTCAAACTTAAACTACGCCACAACTTATCCTAAAACACATGTTTACACAATATCAGAGTCAAACCGCTGCAACAAAATCCATACATTTAAACGTCTTGGCCAAACGAATGCATGTAGTTGAAAAACCAGGGGTGGACAGAGAGCGGGGACAGAGAGCACTCTCATGCACTGTCAACGGGTGGGGGGGGGGGGGGGGGGGGGGACATGCTCGTGAACTGTTAATAAGGTCCCATGGGTCCGAAGTAAATGGGCGGGACTTCGCCTCCGGAGCTTCGCTGTTAGCGGAAGTAACCGGCGGATAGACAGATGAGAACATGGATTGGTGGATCACTTTGTCAATCATTATTCTCCCAAAGGGTAAGTCCCGCCTATTTCATTTATTCTCCCTCGCTGTGGATTGTGGAGGTATGGCGCAATATTAATAGCTCAGAATGTAATATTATTTCAGATAATTTTACAAGTATGGTGTCACATTACACGTTTTTGAGGCGAATCCATTTTAGACAGAGCCCCAAGGAAAACCTTAAGTTCAACCACTGGTTAATGAAAAAAGGCCTTCTTCGAAAATCAATGAAATGCCCCTCTTGTGCTCATGTCATGAAGTTGAAACGGCCTTATGCTAAAAAGGAGGCATCATGGTAAGTAATGCTAGAACACTTAGCCTGTGCTTCATTTATTAATTTTGGGCATATCATATTGTTAGCTCTGTAGCTGTAAGTTCATCTGAATGTTGGATGCAGACTTGTCACCTTTCAGAAATATTTACCATTTTGAATCTACATTATGTGACCTATGTGATTCATGCATATCTGATGGAAAATGATTATATAATTCATATTATTAAACCTAATTGTTTTTATTAGGAGGAATTATCAGCTAAATCTCACCTAGAAAGTCATAATTCAAATCACACTGCTGATAATTTATATGTGCATGTGGGCTACTTTTTAAGGTGGTAACACTACTAAATGCACTCAAATATCTTCCTTATTCAGTTAATTATTGTAAATTAAATTCTTCTTGTCAAGTATACCTAGAAATGTTGAATAACACAAAGGACTTGCGCCATATTCAATCCATGTCTTAGATGTATCAACAC